AAAAAAAAAAAAAAAAAAAAAAAAAATATACGAATAACATCAATTTGTATAAAACGTTTCTCCACGAATAATTCGAAAATGTGTTCTTACTAGGTAACTACCCTAAATAATTTCCAACCTCGAAGGGGGAACTTAGAAGCGAATGGAAAAGAGTGGAGCGATCTCGAAATTGGAGAAAAAAACAAGGAGCAACACATCTCGAAGCGGAAAATCGTATGCGCACGCCTTGTAAAAATATCCAAGGGGATCTGGAGAAGATTAGTTAACAAGATTACTTACGACTGTCAGCGCTCTGTAAGCAAGTTTCTGAATAGGGGTATGGCGGGTTGTGGCGCGGATGATCTACTATGCAGTCAGCCAGCCATGTCAACGATATACATTCAGCCCCGGCCCGTGGTGCAAGTAGGGCTGCAATGTCTGCGAAACGGTAATGGAACGGCAAACGACCTGGGATTTACCCCTTGGAACATTCTAACAAAGCTCTAGGCCACCGCAGCAGCCACCTACCACGAAGAGAGGAGAAAAAAAATTGGTAAAAAATTTACATCCCCGGTTGCCTCTCGCTTGCGGTAATTGCCTTGTATATTTCAGAACGGATGGGATGCTTGCATGCTATCTTCGACTCGAATGGATCGAGTTAATCCTGTAGAGATGAATTTTAAATCTTTGCTAATCTCCATTCGTGATTGTCGTTTCGACGATCAATCGAAAATGTAGTAAGAGTAAATGTGATGATATTTATTGGTATGTATTTAATGGTATTAGGTATATTGTAATATTCTACTCGAAGATTTTATAAAATTTTCAATAACGTTGTAATAAAATTGCAATTCTTTCCGCTGTATAATTTATTTATATATTGAAAAATTATAAAAATAATAAGAGCATTTACTATTTCTGTAGTAGATATGCTTTGAAATAAAATCTTTGAGAAAGAGTTAACGTTGAGATTCGTGAAAATAGAAGAATTATATAATCGGAATATTGTAAGGATTTTTCTATTTTCTAAAGAGTTAAGATATCTAAAAACGAATAAAGAAAATGAAAATTTCTTTCATGCATAATTTTTTAAATATTCGATGAATTTTGCGAAAGGATTAAGATTAAAATTTTTTTCTATAATTATTAAACGTTCATCGACTTTTTTCTTATCCGAAAGGATTAAATTATTTAAAAATAAGATAAAACTGGAATTTCTTATAATAGATAATTAATAAAAAATTCACTCGCTAATTACCTATATAAAAAATCAATTTCTCGCTCTATTTTCAGACTCTCCAAGGTGCCATACTCTCTTTACGCCCGAGCTGACATAGATAACGGTCTAAAAGCCTCGCGAGGTGAAGTCGACGATATGACGGCCACGAAAGAGCTCGTAAAAATCGCTAACGGAATTAATGGCCTCGATGGCCGTGAAGACGAGGAGCAACAACGTCGTTAAAAAATCCATCGAGTGACGACGGGCCAACGTTTCCAACGTCAATTACGTTTTCGCACGTCGAAAGGAGAAAATTTTTCGAAGGGTTGGCGAACTTTGTTCGCGGTGGTAATCCGTTTTAAATCGACAGGGAAGGGGGGAGGGGCGAAAAGTTGCGGAGAAAAATGTCGCAGCGTCGACGAGATGGAATTGAATTCGGTCGAATTCAGAACGCCTTGTACTAGGGAGCTTCGAGGTACACGTAGGAATATAGTAGGGAATCATCTAGGGAGATATTTTTCGAGGAAGGGGAAACTATAGTGGTGACGCGCGTTGTTGGAATCTATTTATTTAGAGTGCAAATATGTTCGATAACATAGTAATTTTCACTCTTAATGTAGCGTCTATTTTAGTGAAAAATAATTCTTGAAGACAAGTTTCTAAAGTTTTGCTTTCAAATGTATTTACATGATAAGAATTGCTAGTTAACTTTGGACTGTTCCATTCAACATCTATATTTATTCTTTGAAGAAACTCTTTCAAGAACAACAATTTTAATTTTAATTTTAATTTTAATTTTTCTCACAAATATATTTGTACTATAAGGTTAGACAAATTTTGCAAGTCTTAAAGTTTAAATTAAATTGTATTATGGTAAAGTTTTTAGTTTATTTGGTATTTATGTTAGCAAAAATGATAATTTTGAAATAGAAGGAATGATGTGTCAACGATCTTTGCGATGTAGGATCCAATTTCCTTGTTTAATTATTATAGTTACGTTGATCGTGGTTAGTATTTGGATGGATGCCATTTGGAAAGTCCGTGTATTGATATCAAAATGTTTCTTAAACTATAAACTTCGGCTAATGACCGCATTGGTTATGACAATCGATATTGGTTACATAACGAATAATAAACAAATAGCAAATAATAATTTTGCCAGCAGAGGGATCCAATGATTGCAATTTGATAATCAAGTTAATACTTGATTGTGTACAGTAGCTCGAAATCCACTTTAAACCACTTTAGAGTCTCAACTAATAATTACAGCAGTAGATTAAATACCAAATAACAAACAAATATCAAATAATAATTTTGCCACGTAGAAATCCACTGATTCCAATATAATAACCAAAGTTAAACTACATTGGTCACAGTTAATACTTGGTTGATATATCATTTAATAATGACTCAAAACTCATTTATGTAACAACTACATTAAATAATGAACAACAGAACATTTAATTTTGTCTAACATACTTTCAAAAAAAATATAAAAATAATTCTGTAACTACATTATATGTGATAAGTTATAATATTCGAAACGGTTATGTAGAGAAATATGTAATTAAAATTTAATTACGTTAATCACTATATAATATATAATTGGCAATAATTCAAAACTATCTTTAATTTAACAAATACATTAAATAACGAACAACAAATAAAACACGGATACTTATAAATCCTAATTAGTTTCAAGAAACGATAAAAACGACTCTGTGTCTATCATCTACTGTGTACATGGTACACAACAGGTTGCGATAGTCGAATCCTGAAACGGTGTCACGTGGAAGAACAGGGGTGCGTGGACGTAACAACGGGCCGGTGGCACCCTTCGATGATCCTTAGGGGGATATAGACAATGATTAATCACGCTCGAGTGGCTTCGCTTCCCTCTTGGTGATGCTCCCTATGTATCGGTCCATCTCTTCCTCCCTTGACCAGCGTCCACGGGATGAAGGTTTATGCGCATTCGTTTCAGATTTCAAACGCTTTGCCACTTCGAACATCGGTAAAGCGTAGGAATTCTAAAACAAATACCACGCTTTTATGTCGTTGCCCCGTTTCTTTCCTTTCTTTAACGTTCCTTCCGTAGTAGTAAGTGTCGCTCGATTCATTCATTTTCTTTCGATCGAAATCCAATTCTTCCGAGATGGATATCAGATTAGATTAGATAAGATTTTTTTTGTTCAATAAGTTTTTTTGAATTGAAATGTTTGAAGGGAAGACAAGATTTATAGTAGGATTTTTAACAATATATTAAAATTTAAATAAAACGATATCGATTGGATTGAAACGTACATTTTGATGTATTATCAAGAAGTAGATTAAATTAATAGTAATATGTCATTGCTTGAAATTTATTAATGAATAAAACAAAGTTTTATCATTCGTTCTATGTTATTCGTAATGTTAATAAGAAATTTCAAATTGTGAATTCGTATATTGACATCGATTCATGAAACATAACCTCAAACGTCACAAAATGAACGATCGATCAATCGATTATTCGCTTCACATAAAGCAATTTATCTAAGAAAATTTCGAATTTTCTCTACTCCTTTTTCATTTCTTTTCCCGTATTATGAGAGGAAAAAAATATGTCTTTTAATGAGTCAAAGGAAGAAAACTGGCTAATCTTAGCTAGACTCGATCCGAACTTTCGTAAAAGGACATAATCGATATTTCCATTATTGAACCGTTCGTTTGTGTAACGTTAAATGAACCGATGGTCCGTAATGCCATTTATCGATAAAGGTCGTTAATATTCTCGGAAAGTTGCGCTCTTTTACGAGAACTGAAGTTTGTTTGCATTTATAGGAAAAGATCGTTCGTGGTAATGATCGATATTATTAGCCTCGTTGATAAAGAAGTATTAGAGTTTTTCTTCGAATTCGAGTCTCTGAAAGTTTAATTCTTTACCATTCGATGATAACTTCTGGTATTATTTATTTATAGTACTGGTGTTATAATATTGCGATATTATTACCATCATATTTATTTATCAGAATTCGCAGATTTTGGATAATTATATATAAAATAAAAATAAAAAAAAGTGATGAATATTTATAATATTGAATATATTACAATTCTTAAATCTTACTTGAGAGAGAGAAAAAATTCAAATGTTTCTTCTTTCTCTTTTCAAAATAACAATAAAAAGAGAACAAAAAAGCATTTCAACTCACGTTCAGATGAAAAAGCACGTGATATCGAAAAATAAGAAGAAAATGTTAAAACGTTTTAACCAAAGAAGGTAAAAATCGGTCTACGAAATATTCAAATTGCCTTCTCGTGTGGAGCATACGTCCTACATTGGAAAATACCGGTTTAAAACGAGCGATGGAACAAATTCGCAAAGGAAGAGCGGCGTGCACGTGGCGATTTTTCTCGAAATTCTTTCCAGGGCGTGGATGGGACAAGCGGGGTATTTATTGGCTTCCATCCCATCGCTTAACTCGGTTGGCATTTCGTCAAAAGTGTTTCGAGTATGTATTTCGAAAACGTTATTCGATTTCCTTTTATATTCCATTATTCCTTTCTTTTTTTTCTTCCTTTTTTTTTTTATAGCTGTAAAGAATTTATTTTACGTCCTTCGCTTATTCTCTTATTCGTACAGTCATATGTATTATCCAATCCTGTTATCCAATTTAAGTTCTATGCGCCCTTTAACTTTTAAATAAAGTTAGAAGGCCCTGTATACCTTGCAGAGATTTAATTTATTTTTCTTAACAAGAACAGTCGAGAAGAAAATGATAAAAACTTTTACCTCTCTTATTGTAATCTCGAAATGTTGGACAGAACGTTCCAAGCTTAAAGAAGAAAGAATAAATAATGCAACTTACGTCGATGATAATCGGTGAAGAAGCAAAATTGAACTAAAGATTTTTTTGAAAACGATTAGAATATTATTTTTTACCAACCAAATAATTTGACCAAACCATTATCTCGAACCGTGCCTGTCTGTCTGCGAAAAATAATTGCAACTCTCCACAGTGAAAAATCTATTTTGAGAATGAAAATTTCATCTAAACAAAAAAAAAAAAAAAAAAAAAAAAAAAAAAAAAAAAAAAAAAAAAAAAAAATGAAGTCTCGCGAAAGTGATTCGTGAAAGTTTTACAACCCTGCAAATGGATTGTAGACACGGTCGAGAAGAAGGAACGTGTCCACGGCGTGCGTTGACACTATTCTCGAGAATTTTACCCTCAAGTGTCCCGATTCCTCCATTCGAAAGTAAAGCTTTCACGAATTACTCTCCAGAGTTCCATTCTCACCCTAATACGAAAATCCAAAATTTCAATTCCCGTTCTCCAGAGTTTCATTCTCAAAAACGAGTATCCTCCTCGCCCCGAAAATTATCCAACTTCATCAATTTTTTTTTTTTCTTTTTCAGATCGTCGATCTTCACGCGCTTTATCTTATCTTATCTTAATTCGAGTTCGTTCATCGCGCGAAAATGCACGCGGGCGTTCATTTTTTCCCAAAATTTTTCCCCTCTTTGACGGAGCGACGCGGTTCCTGCCTTAAATTAAATTCCGGCATCGGGCTCGTAAAATACCTCGCGTTAACGCAGCTGGGAACAAAGCTGCAATTTCCACTGGTTTCGAGCCGGTGGAAACTTTTGCGGGGAATCGTAAGTTTAAAATTAAAAAAGCCAAAGCAACCGCGCTCGATCCCCCTCTTTTCTCTTTTTCTTCTTCTTTCTTTGTCCTCTTCAGTCTAGAAATCGCGTTTCGTTTCGGTTTTTATCCAATTTTCAACGAACGAACGGGGAATCGAGGGGGATTTCGTCACGTATAGATGCGCGGCTTGAGGTGAAATTAAATTTCGCGAAAGATGGCGCGGGGAAGAAGAGGGTATTTCGAGTAGAAAGTAGTTTTCGATTTGTGTTCCATTAGCTCTTTTCAAACGTTAAGCTTTTTCGAGTAATGATGCGATTAATGAGTGAAAAATTGTAGGTAGAAGGATGTATCGAAATCGTGGTACATTGATGCAATTGAAAAGTGAAAATTGAAAAGTACGGAATAAAAATTATTTTATTACGAAGCATTGGAAATTATTAATTAATATTTAAAATTCTGTTGGATAGGTTTTTAATTTTATAACATTTTATTTTTTTAAAATTGTTATATTTGTTATAATAACATAGATTATATTTATTCGATGAGTGTATAATGAACGAATTTCCAGATACAATTTTCTCAAAAAAAAAAAAAAAAAGAAAATGGAGTATTTAAATGAAAAGTTTAATCAGAAGAATCTTTTTCTTCAAATTTATCATGATTCTTATTTTCATTTTACCAAATACATTGTTTCATAACGGTGAATTTCTTTGCCTTCTTTGAAATATTCTTATTCTTCAAATATATATTACGATTTTGAAAAAAATCCTTATATATTTTACAAAATAATCGAGTCGTCCTCCAGACTTATTTTCACGATCTCTTTATTACAAACTTGCATCCGCGTTCTCGCAATCATTGTGATAATTGTATCCAATTTCCTATCCGGAGGAACGAGATTAATGTTTATTTCGTTCAAAGCTCGCCTTACCATTGAAATTATTCTTCGAATGCGCGAAACAAAAAAAAAAAAAAAAGAAAAAAAAAGAAAAACCGTGGATCGGATAAGACGGCTTAAACGTGATGGACGGATATCAGAGGATTAAGGGATTAAATTAAGTTCTCCCCGGTGGAAAACTTGGAGGGATAAAAGAAGGAAGAGAATGCGAAGCAGACGAAGCATCCCCCTTTCGAATCTCCCGCTCCGAGTCCACGCCGGAAGCATGTATCGGGAAGATTATTAGGAACCAATTAGAAATAATTTTCCCTCATGTCACCACGCGTACGTGTATGTGTGTATATGTGGGGAAATGGAGCAAAGTAGTTGGCGGAGGAAGTTTCGAAACTATCGATAATGATTGTTCGACGAATGGAAGATCCGTGTCGTGTCGAGGCGCCTACTTCCGGAACACTTCTTCGCTAGTTCGTTCGTTCGTTCGTTCGTTCGTTCGTTCGTTCGTCTGGTCGTATAAACGCCGCGAGAGGCGCTGTGTATCGAGTTTTTCGAACGATACACGAGATTTCGCTGTGCTTGGTAAGAAAATGGAATAAGTGAATTTGTAAATTAGTGAATTCTTTTGTGGTGGATATTTCGAGGGTGGATTATTAAGTTTTGTAATAATTTGGTGCAGTTTCTTTTTTGGATTAAAACATCTTGGAAGAGATAAGAATAGTGAGATAGAAAATACAGCGATATCTTTATGAGAATAGGTTATGATTGATACTAATATAAGATACTTAAAATTGGAGGAAAAATGTAATAATTAGACGAATGAAAATAATTCTAAATACGATTATTAGTTTTTTACCACTCGAACTAATATTTTGATGGAGTTAATTTTTTGTAAAATTAATCAGAAGGTCGACGATTGACAGTAAATAAAGATTCAATTAATGGCATCGTGATCATCGAATCCATCAAATTCCAAGGAAAAAAAAAAAGAAAAATATCGTGCATCAATCTATATAAAGTTTTTAACTTAATAGATAATTAATCGTAAATCGGCTCTCTCGACAAGGAGCAGGCTCTCTTGATTCGCATCGAGTTGTTCGGTTGCTCGTACGTGCTTCAACCTCGGTGTCTTGATATCCTTAACAACGCACATCTTCGATACCAACGTTCAATTACAAACGAGTGTTACCACCTTGTTAGCCGATGCAAACTCATTAATTTTAGTAGGGCAGATCTTTAGCCATGGCCTCTTTGAGAAATCTTGAAGCTCATTAAATGCTCGGGCATGTACGCTCGGGATCTCTCTTTCTCTCGTCTTGTCCCCTTTCCAACTTTTAAAGTAATTATTTTACGCCGATCGAGTTTGGCGTGGCTACTCGATGAAACTTTACCAACG